CTCGCACCATTATCTAAGTACCAAATTCCGTCTTCATCGGCATTTGCTTCAACTTTTGGAGGGATATATTTGTCTTCATTCAAGAACACCGTTTCTTGAATTGTATTCATCATAAAGAACGTTCCTTCTTCATGATTTGTATATCCTTCGTGTGTCTGATTAAGGTTAGCCTCATGATTTTTTATTCGGTCCGGGCATCTTGAAGCAAAGTGACCATACTTGTCACACCGGTAACATTGAATATTTGAGAGATCTCTTTGCTCGCGTTGTTTTCCTTTTTGCTTTTGATCTTCACGATTTTTAGAGGATTCCGAGTGACCGTGATTTTGGGTATTACCCCGACCACATCCACCGCCACGTCCACCACATCGTCCTCTTCCTCGGTTATTTGAACCCCGACCTCTACCTCTTGATGAATCAGTGTTTCTGTTGGATGATTCGGTTTTGGAATAAAGTAATTTATTTTGAGTCTCGATTACTTTGTCTTCACCCTTGATTCTTTCTTCATATATAAGCTTTTAAGCGACCAACCACGTCTTCAAATCCAATCGTTTTAAGGTCCAAAACTTGTTCAAGGGCTGCAACTATGTGGACAAACCGCCTAGGGAGGCTCGTAAGAAACTTCTTCGCAAGCTTTTGTTCGGTCATGACCTCTCCTAGTGAAGCGGATTTTGAAGCAATCCCGGATAATTTAGCAGCGAACTCGTCTATCGTACTAGTATCACTCATCTTTAAATTTTCGAATTCCGTGATTAGAGTTTGGAGTCGGGCTTCCTTCACACGATCAGCTCCTAGGTTACGAGTTTTAATCGCTTCCCACATCTCTTTTCCCGTTTTCAAATTACCGATTTGAAGGATTAAATCCTCCGAAATCGATTGAAACAACAATCCTTTCACGATGTTGTTTTTCTTCACATCATCTAGTCCAGGATCAATTACATCCCAAACGCCATGAATCCCGAGTAGCACCTCCATGCGCATCCTCCAAATTGTGTAGTTCGTCGATGTCAAAGTCGGACATTGGAACGTGAACGACATATGTTCCTTAGCAGGGGGTTGGGACGATTCTCCTCCCGACATCTCGGTTCAATTTTTGATTACTCCACACAAATAAAAAAATTGATTTGTTTTTTTTTTAATAAAATGATTTTTTTTCCGAAAAATAAATTCTCACGTGAATTGAATTAATGTAATTGCTCCTTTAATTCAAAGTTGGATAAATTTGGGCCAATTAGAATAAGCCAAACACGAATGAGAATAAGGCCCAAAGTCGAACAAAAAAAACACGTTCTTTAGGGAAAAAGACGCCTTCTTCACCGATCTGTTGCAGGTTCATGATCTCTACAAGCAGGACCACACCACACGAGGCAGACGCACGTAGACGATTTCACAGCAAGAACACCGAGTAGCGGTCGATTACTCTTGCTCCTTGTATGTCACAGGCTTACGAAAACAGCAAGGCTGTTACACTCGTAACTCTCCACACGAACAGAACTGCTTCAAACTCAAGCAGAAGAATTCGTAGATGGTGTTCACCACAGTAGGAATTCACAACACAAGTTCCTTCTATCCCTTTGCTCTGATACCAATTAAAGAGGTAATTGCATAAACTCGCAAACTTTATTATTATTGAAGAAAACTATCTCAAAAACTCCATACTTGTTACAGGATCCTATCTCATTATATACTACACAAAACACAATAGAATATAACTAGGATTCTGTTATGAGAACGTCTACACTTTCCTAATATACGTTTCCTTATGACTCAAGGACTCTAGAACTTGGACAGCACTCCAAGTAACTGTGGTCCGGACCAAACACGCATAACTCGCCACATTGGACTCAGATATTCACCAACAGTGCAACCACCTTTATACAGTCATTAGTGGCTCCTCCTTTTGTCATATATATATATATATATATATATATATATATATATATATATATATATATATATATATATATATATATATATATATATATATTGAACCGGCAGATATTATTAAAACCATGGCCTAAAGGAAACACCGAAGACAAAAGAAAAAACAAAACAAAACTTATAAAATGTCAAAAGAAAAACAAACCCAACATGTGTCAACCCACAAAGTCAAATACATCGAGTTGTCATTGCTTGTTGTCCCTACTCCAAAAAAATAATAATAATAAATAAATAAAAATGCAAATCGTACACCACCTGAAGCCATTAAACTTAAAAAATTTTCAATATACGTGAGGACATTTAACCAGTAACAACAAATGTTTGTTAATTTTTAAGGCATAAATATATTCTAAGTCGATGAACTTCACTTAAAATGATTTTCATCCATTAAGCAATGCCTGAAACATGCACAATTAAAAAAAAACATGAAAATCAAGTATATAAAAAACTTAGGACAAAAAAAGGGTTTTAAACCTTATTTATTGCGCACACTAAAATTTTGGGTATCAAGAATCCTTGATGTTTTTTTGTTGGTGTCTCTAAGAACTGAGCAAAATCCACACCATACATTACACAATGATTTATTGTAAATTTTACCTACAAAACCATTAAGACCCATAAAAGACACATAAATATACCACTGTGTTAATTTACTTTTCTAAATTTTTAGCTTGAATATTATGAGAATATCTCTAATAAAAGGGCGAGGGGAAACATAACTATCAATTCACTTAGGTGTTTCAAACATGTGTGATTAAAAATAGGAACATATGAAATATAATTAAAAATGGAAGTGTAGGAGATGATACATGCATTTTCATTTTTGATCTTCATGTCGATTCGGTTAACCTACTTGGGAAGTGGCAACAACAACAATGTAAGAAAGGCATCACAAAACTATCTTGAACATGCTAGGTTAAAGAAAGGGGGGGGGGGATTTAGGGAAATATTGGAAGTCATCTGAATTATGTATAATTGGGGTGTGATAAAAGTTTTAAAGTGCTCGTTTCAACATAGAAATACATAAGGCGCCATATCAACACCCTGTAACTATAAATAAGATTTGTTATTAGCAATTCTATGGTGTACAATAAAAAGGTACCCAATAAAAAACCTCAAATTTGATTGCTTAATTTCAATTCATAAACGGATATTCACCTAAAGCTTACCGAAGCAGTAGAAACACAATAGTGTATTTCATCAGGTGTTTGGCTGATAAGCTTGTATCCCTGCAAATAAATGTAATCAGTTAAACTAAACAATGAAAAAAAATCCCATTTCATTGTTGTCCTCTTAGCTTCATATTATACAATCTTTCCATGATGTGTAGTCTCAACACTTCCAACATTGTTATATTGGGCTTCTTTCTGGCATCTGCAATTAGAGTATTAAAACTCTCAAACATTCCATTCTCAACTAAGTCACAACATCTACCTGGTTGGAAGAATGCTCTTGACTAAGTTTTTTAGATCCCTATCCATAAGGTATTTATGTGTATTTGGGTTCAACATTTCCAATTCACTCATTGCAGCTCTAAAATCTTTCTCAGTTGAAGCTTTTGATGCTCTCCAAAATAGTGTTTGATAGTGGACACCACTATACCTCTTAAGCAAATTCTGGCAAATATGTTTAGCACATTGTATTTGCTCTAAACGCATCTTCTCCTTTACAACTTCAATCAATCCCTACATACAAAAGTTATATAAAATTTTAGAATAAGAAATATCATGAATTAAAATATCAAATAATAAATAAACTAACCTTATGTTGATCAGACATTAAAGAGTAACCATTTCCTAAATTCAAATGAAGATCATCAATTAGAAGATCTAAAAGCCACTTCCATTTCTGCTTGTTCTCAACATACACCGTTGTCCATGCAACTAGAAAGATTTTCTCAATTGCATCCCTACCAATAGCACAAATCAACCCCCCCCCCCCCCAGCATTTGGATTCAACATTTCCAATTCACTAATTGCATCCCTAAAATCATTCCCAGTTGAGCTTTTGATGCTCTCCAAAATAATGTCTGATAGTGGACACCTCTATAGCTCTTAAGCAAATTCTGGAAAATGTGTTTAGCATACTGTCCGTGCTCTACAAAAGGCATCATCTCCTTTACAACTTCAATCAATCCCTACATATAAAAGTTATATAAAATTTTAGAATAAGAAATACCATGAAATAAAATATCAAATAATAAAGACACTAACCTTATGTTGATCAGACATTAAAGAGTAACCATTTCCTAAATTCAAATGAAGATCATTAATTAGAAGATCTAAACCCCACTTCTAATTCTACTTGTTCTCCAGACATAACACTGCCCATGCAATTGGAAAGATTTTGTCATTTGCATCGCTACCAATAACACAAATCACCCCCTCCTTTACAAATACCTTTCAAAAAACACCCACCAAGACCAATTATATTTTTACAACCTTCAATCCAACCTTGTTTCCCACCATCAAAACACATATAGAACTTGCTGAAATAGTTCTTCCCATCATGCATGTGATCCACCTTAAGTTTCACAGTCGAACTTGGATTTGTTCTCTGCATCTCTTGACTATATGACCAAAGTTTTGCAGAGTGATCCACATGATTATCTTCAATTAGTTCCACTACATAATTCTTTGCTCTTCTGTATTGCCCTGCATTGACGTTTACACCAAATTTCTTGATCACTTCAAGTCTAAGTTTCCTGACACTTATTTTCTGCCCATGAAGAATTTATTTGGTATAGTGACTCCTAATACATGTGTGTGTCACGAATGAACCCAACTTACAGTTTCTGTTAAAATTATGTTCACTCTTCAAAGACTTGGTTTGGAAAGCAGCTTCATCACTCATCCAAGATTCTAATCTAAATAGGCAGACACCTTTACAATACCTCATAAGAAGTCTATGTGTGTCATTCTTTCCAAAATATGGTTTGTACCCATTAGCCACTTCATAGTTGCATAAGAAGGTTTTGAACTGCTTTGGATCCTTAAATTTCATTTCAAGTATGAGATTTTGTTTTTTGCAATGTATGGAGTCATTAAAATATGAAGCACTTATATGGGATCTTGAATTTCCATCCTATCATTATCATCTAAAAGGTCAATTTCATCATCATGCACCCCTCTAACACATAATTTACTAAAGAAAGGATCGTGGTATGTTCTGTTCATAGGGATAGCATCTTCATCATTTTCCACTTCAACATCCTTAAGATTATCTCCATTTTCCACACCATCAGCACAAGGATCGTTATCAGCATCTTCATTTTGTTCTTCATCAATCTAACCCTCAATTCCATCCATAACATGTTTAACATAAACAAAAATTATGCCATATGTACCATAAACATCAATAATAAAACTAACATAATCTACATTGTTTAAAATAGGTCGAATGCCATTAGTCATAGATTTTTTTGGTTCATAGTAGTAAAGGGTTTTAATTTCATCATACATGAAACGTTCCAGGTAAGTGACACACTCGGAATATGTCATAGTAGAAAAATTAACATCATTGAAGGTGCTTTTCACACCCCTGAAGTAAGATAAAGGATTACGAGTAAATACACCTTGGTAATTGAGTTCCACTATAGCAAACATTCCATCATCAAGATTCGATTGTGTCATTTCTGCTAGTAGCTTGCTTCTTGACATCAATCGACAACACTGATACCTTGATCGTAAGTGAATATGAAAACTCTAACTATTGGCTCGATATTTACTTCTCGCATTTGTGAAATGAAGCTTGATGAAGAAGGATACATATTAAATGAGAGATGAGTTAATATATCATTTAAATGACGTGGGTTAATTTTACACCTCATTAACACTTTCAACATAAAATAAAATCCAGGTTAGATCAGTAACCGACTAACCTTCTAAAATCGATCAAAATGGCTTATTTGACCGCTATAGAAATAGTTAAATGGTCTATTGCACAAAAAAAATATATAATTAGTCAACCAAACCCCTAACTTTATTATGCGATAGTTGTTAGATTAGGTGTATAAGCTCATTACTATAATTGGTGTAAACTTGAATTGATAGTAGTACAGTCCTTTTGAGTTGCCCTCAAACCTAGTAATTAGACATGATAAATTTTTAAGAGAGAGGTTGATTTATTATTTGATTAATAAATTGAAATAAATAATTTATTAATATATTATGAGAATAATATATTAATTAGAAATAATAATATTTAATTGATAATTAATCAGAAGTTAATTGGAATTAATTTTGGAATTAATTAAAAGTACAGGGTCTAAAATGTAATTGTTCAATAGTTGAACAAAAGGTTCCAGAACCTTCCACCAGGCTTTTAAGGTTTCTAGAATTATCTTTGGAGGATAATTAGAAAAACCAAATTTGAATTAATATTATTTAATTCGTATCAGGGTTATCTAGGGTTTCCTAGTTGCACTATATCAGGACCCCTAGGCTTTGATTTTTGGACATCACTTCCTTCCTAAGGCTTGGCCGAAATTTTTCTCACCCCTTTCCTTTCTCCATAATCTCCTTCTTGCTAGCTTGGGTGTGAACCATTAGAGTCACGACATGTATGGTGCTTGCTTCCAAAGGTTCTACAAGTCAAGGATAATTGTTATTTACTATTATTAAAACAAGGTATGTAATCATAAACCCTTTCTTGTGTTTTTAGAAAATTACCTAGGATTTCTAGGGTTCTTATTTTGATGTTCTTATTTGTAGGTTCAATAGTGAAAACATAGATCTTGTTTTATGTTTCATGCACACTTAAGAGTTTTAAGTTTGTTTTGTTATTCCTACATCCTATCAGTGGTATCATAGCATTTGGTTTGTTTTCAATTGAATTTGCTATAATTGTTGAATTTGATCAAATTAGGGTTTATAGAAATTAAACCCTAAAAAGCTTAAAATTTCGAAATTAGGGTTAGGGTTCTGAAACCCTAACCTTCCTCCCCAAGTTTCGAAATAAGGGTTAGAGTTTTAAAACCCTAACCTTTCTACCCGAGCGATTTCGAAAATTGATAAGCTATTAGGTTTTTTCAAATTTTGGTAATTGTCATTTTACTTTCCTAAAAAGAGACAATTAAAATTGGAATAAATCATAACCCTATATTTTCAAAAATTGTGAAGGTAAGGATTAGGATTAATTTATTTGATTAATTTAATTAGTTAATCCGTATTTGATTTAATATATTTAAGTAATTGTTAATTAACAAATAAATATTAAATCATTTGGTTTATTTTTAAATTTAAATTAGTTATTTAATTTTTAAAATTTAATGTTTTAAAATACCCCTTAAACTGTATGTAAAATTAAAAGTTTAATAATTACTATATGCATAAGACTAAGTCAATCGAACCGCTAGTACGCCTCATTTATGAAGCTAGTATATAAGGTGGATATAAGGAAACTGCCTATAAAAAGGTAGTTGAATGGGTGTCCACTCTCACCCACTGCTTCCTTGATTAGTGGAGGGTAGCTAGTCGAATGAGTTTGATAGGACGATTATTTATCATTAAAGGTATAATGATATTAAAAGGTACTAGAACCTTTTTATTAATCCCAAATCTAGTTACTTAAGGAAAATTGTGAATTTGTAAGTTAACCCATGAAATTGCACATTACACTTTATAAGTCTTTAGTGGAGCGTGCGTGGTTAACCAACACATTAATAAGGAATAATAAAGAATTGTAATGGGTATCTCATAAATTATCATTGTTGATGGAGCGTGTGTGGTTTACAAACATATCAATTGAGATGATAAATGACAATAAGGTTACCAAGCACATTTGCATGGTTGTTCACATCTTGTTTGTGATCCTCGGTATCCCAATCACAAATAGAAGAGCATAATATGAGATTAAACATGCCATTGAATGGTTTCAATGAATCTCAAAAGATCTAGAAATTTTATCAAAACTTAATTTCCTTTTAAAATATCATTTTCTATTGGTGGAATTGGTAAATCATCATTTACATACCTTTATAAAATTTACAATTACATTATGACATCACTTTTCTAACTTGTGAATTATATAGTTGGATCCTAGCCTTAATATTTCATTTTTGGGTTGCTATATTAAGGATTATTCTTATCTAATTAAAACTACGTTCCTTTTATAGATGTCTATTCCAAATGATGCTTCTGGTTCCTCCTCTAATTAAAACTTCTCGTTGTTGAACATCTGCTCAAAGGTGACATTAGATGGCACCAATCACAACGACTGGATGAGAAACATCAAAAGGGCCCTTCGTTTCATGGACAAGGAATATGTACTTGAGAAATAACTAACTGAGATTGAAAAAGAGAAGGTCACTCTTGAAGAATTAGCTGCCTACAAGTGGCATTACAATGATGCAACAAAAGTTGCTTGCATCATGGTCGCCACGATAACCCCTAAGTTGTAAAGATTCTATGAGGATTACTAGTTATATAAAATGAATAAGGACCTTATGGAGAAATACCATAAATGAGCTCGTCAAAAAATATGAGGTGGTAACGTCCTTTATGGCGTACAAAATGAAAGATGGAGAATTTGTCTGTGACCATGTGTAGAGAATGCAACTTCACGTGGAGCGCCTTGTAAGGCTTAATGTGCACTTTGATGAGGAGTTGGCTATTGGCAGATTCTTAAACTCCTTACCAATTTGTTATGATCAGTTCATCTTGGCCTATCATTTGAACTACAATGAGACCAACATGGCTCAATTGCACAACCTTCTACAGACAACTGAAGCAGATATGAAGGGAAAAAGTATTGCCTCCACCTCTGCTAGTGATCCCATCCTAGCCATTGGACAAGGAAAGGGTAAGAAGAGGAAAGGTCCTCCCAAGAGAAATTGGAAGGGAAAGTCTCATGAAGGGTCAGTCAGTAATGGCCCTAAAGGAAAGGCCAATGCTGATCACCCACCCTCTTCTGATCCAAAAGAGGCTATATGATTTTACTGCAACGACAAGGGGTATTGGAAATAAAGTTGTACGAAGTATCTGCAAGATATCAAAGATGGAAAGGTGAAGCCAACTTATGTAGGTATATACACTATTTTATCTAATAACTCATGATCTACTCATTCTTGGGTCCTTGATATGGGATGTGGATTTCACATTTTTCTGATTTGTTGGGGCTAAGAAGAAGTGAGGAGGTGGAGCATGGTAGAACGAACTTGATCATGGGGAATAATCGATCTTCACTTGTCGCCAAGATTACAGTTTATAGTCTAGTGCTTAGTAATTGTGTTAGTTTGGATTTAATAAATAGTTGATACTCATCAGAAATAACATGAAACATTTTTTTTTTCATGCATTCTTCAGACATTGTTTCAGATATTCTTTTAATGATTTGAATGGTTCAATTTCTGCTTATAAAAGTGGTATTTTTTATTTTGAAGCCTTGTCTTATGATGGTGTATATGAAACTGTGACATGTGTAGACAATTTAGATAATAGTGTATTTCAAATTGATTCGTCTAATGGTATAGACAAAGAGGTGAAGGTTTGTTGGACCTCATACACAGATGTGTATGGCCCTTCAGATTCACCACTTGGGATGCACATCGATTTTATGCCACATTTACACATCATTACAGTAGATATGGCTATATTTACTTAATCAAACATAAATCAAAAACCTGTGAAAAGTTCAAAGAGTTTAAAGACGAGTTCGAGAATCAATTAGGCAAGAAAATAAAGATGCTTCGATCAGATAGAGGCGGAGAGTATCTTAGTATTGAGTTCCACGACTACCTCAAGGAATGTGAAATAATTTCATAATTAACCCCTCCTATGACACCACAATTGAATGGTGTGGCTGAAAGGCGCAATCGAAGCTTGTTGGACATGGTTCGTTCCATGATGAGTCAAGCTTCTCTTCCAATTTTATTCTAGGGGTATGCCTTAGAGACTGTCGTCCATATTCATAATCTTGTCCCAACTAAGAAGGTTTCAAGACCACCTCACGAGATGTGGACATAGAAGGTTCCCTCGTTAGCATATATCAAGGTTTGGGGATGTGAAGCTTTCGTTAGACGAGAGACCCACAACAATCTTAAACATCGTAGTGAGAGATGTATTTTCATCGGCTACCCACAAAAATCCTTTTAACATTTTTTCTACAGACCTAGTGAGAACGTGGTATTTGTAGCATGAGGAGGAATATTTCGTGAGAGAGAGAGCTCATATGCAAAGAGGACAGTGGGAATACCATTGAACTTGAAGAGATTCAAGAATCAAACGATGAAGGAACCTATGAAGACGCTATGGTTCAACCAGAGGAAGAGATTCTAGTTGAACCAGCTCACAATTCATTACTTGTTAGGCATTCCAGTAGAGTTAGCATGTCACCTGAGTTCTATGGTTTCCATATAACTACATATGGTGATACGTTTATCAGTGATAGTTCACTGGAAAATTTAGATGAACTAGCTAACTACAAGGAAGAAATGGTAGGCCCTAAAGCAGCCAAATAGAAAGAGGCAATGGACAGTGAGATCAAGTCCATGTATAACAACCAAGTTTGGAATTTAGTTGATTAACAACCTGGTTGGAAGATAGTTGGTTGCAAATGGATCTTCTAAAAACAAGACCAACATGGATGGTAATGTGCACACATTCAAATAACGACTGGTTGTGAAAGGCTTTACTTAAACCCCAGGGGTTGACTATGATAA